TTAAATGATAAAATAATAGGTAAAAATAAATCATTGTGTAGGGGGACAGGCAGCCAGTGTACATATACATGTTAGGCTTATACCAAGGTGCCACAAAGGTGCCACAAAGGTGCCAAATTAAAGACTGGGAGCTGCCGGGGCGGGCCCAAGGGCTGCTGGCGGCCCTGATGGCCAGGCTGAACTTCCGCGCCCTTATAATCACCATTGTTTAATAATCTTCACAGGGAGAAACAACTGTAAATATAGGAATAGTTTATTACAACATACACGGTAAAGAAAACAGCTCGGAAACTAAGGAAATAAAGCTGCCGAAAAAACATTAAAGTCCACTTTAAGTTCAAGTATGTTTATTGAGACAATAAAAAAATACATCTCAAAGGGATAGAGTAGCTTAGGCTATTTCTACCCCCCCCCCTCTACTTCAAGTCCCTCAAGGGGCACACAAATTCAGTGAGTACAAATACACAAATCACAATACAAGAATATATACTCACTCTACACATTCTCGTGTGCTATCTACATGTACAAAACCCTTGTTCCTAAATGCTAATCTTGATCTGAAACTTTTCCTTGATAGGTGTAATAGAACCCATGAGCACCACACCAGAAATAAATATCTCTTTGATATCCCCAGAGTCAGGCTAAATCTGTGTAAACACTCCATGCAAATTAAAGGGGCCCCAGTCTTTGGAACTCACTCCCTGATGATTTAAAAAATTGTCCAACCTCCGTCCTGTTCAAAAGTAAAACCAAAAAGTATCTAATTTCATCCTCATAGTTTCCTACCTTGTGCTTCAAACTCACACTATCTTGTACTTCCCCAATATTAGTAAAGACTAATTAAGTACTAAATCTTTACCAGTGTAATCACCTCTTTCAATTTATATTGTTGATATAAACCTTACCACAATGTACTTTTTCACCAGTTACACAACTGGTTGGGGTCCGGTTACACAACTGGTCGAGCTTCGGTTACACAACTGGTCGGGCTCCGGTTACATAACTGGTCGGGCTCCGGGGGTGTTACTTGGGCTTCGGGTTGTGCATAGTCGGGCTTTGGTTCATGCATGGTTGTGATCCAGAGGTTGTTTGGTTCGTTCATGCTAGGCTTGCGGTTACACAACTGGTCGGGGTCCGGTTACACAACTGGTCGGGCTTCGGTTACACAACTGGTCGGGCTCCGGTTAAATAACTGGTCGGGCTCCGGGGGTGTCACTGGGCTTTGGGTTGTGCATGGTTGGGCTTCGGTTCGTACATGGTTGTGCTTCAGCGGTTGTTTGTGTACTCGTGCTCCAGGTTTGTTTGCTAAGGCTCGATCTATGTTTATATGTTTGCTAGAAATCTGAGTTTCTTTTTTTGTATATAGTTCAATTGTTTGCTATGGCTCAAGAGTTGGTGTCTAGGGCAAGTGGAGGGTTTTAGGTAGGCTAAGGAGATTTTTGTTTGGTCGAGCTAGGAGTGGTGTTTGGTTGTGCTCTGGGACTGTTTAGCTTTGTGGTTGTTGGATGAGATGTATACTTGCTAGGTTTACGGTTACACAACTGGTTGGGGTCCGGTTACACAACTGGTCGAGCTCCGGTTACTTAACTGGTCGGGCTCCGGTTAAATAACTGGTCGGGCTCCGGTTACACAACTGGTCGGGCTCCGGGGGTGTCACTTCGGCTATGGGTTGTGCATGTTCGGGCTTCCGTTCGTGCATGGTTGTGATCCAGTGGTTGTTTGTTTGGTTCGTTCTTGCTAGGCTTGCAGTTAGACAACTTGTCGGGCTCCGATTTCACAACTTCTCGGGTTCCGATTACATAACACCAGGGGTGTGACTTGTTGGGCTTTGGGTTGTGCATGGTTGTGCTCCGGTTCGTACATGGTTGTGCTCCGGTTCGTACATGGTTGTGCTCCGGTTCGTACATGGTTGTGCTCCAGTTCGTACATGGTTGTGCTCCAGTGGTTATTTGTGTACTAGGACTCGAGGTTTGTTTGCAAGGGCTCTATGTTTATATGTTTGCTAGAAATTAGTTTCTTTTTTTTATATAGTTCAATTGTTTGATATGGCTCCATAGTTTGTTTCTAGGGCAAGTGGAGGGTTTTAGGTAGCGCTAAGAAGATTTTTGTTTAGTCAGCTAGGAATGGAGTTTGGGTGTGCTTTGGGACTGTTTAGCTTGGTGGGGGTTGGATGAGATGTATACTTGCTAGGCTTAAGGTTACACATCTGGTCAGGGTCTGGTTACACAACTGGTCGAGCTTCGGTTACACAACTGGTCGGGCTCCGGTTACATAACTGGTCGGGCTCCGGGGGTGTCACTTGGGCTTCGGGTTGTGCATAGTCGGGCTTTGGTTCATGCATGGTTGTGATCCAGAGGTTGTTTGGTTCGTTCATGCTAGGCTTGCGGTTACACAACTGGTCGGGGTCCGGTTACACAACTGGTCGAGCTTCGGTTACACAACTGGTCGGGCTCCGGTTACATAACTGGTCGGGCTCCGGGGGTGTCACTTGGGCTTCGGGTTGTGCATAGTTGGGCTTTGGTTCATGCATGGTTGTGATCCAGAGGTTGTTTGGTTCGTTCATGCTAGGCTTGCGGTTACACAACTGGTCGGGGTCCGGTTACACAACTGTTAGGGTTCCAGTTACACAACTGGTCGGGCTCCGGTTAAATAACTGGTCGGGCTCCGGTTAAATAACTGGTCGGGCTCCGGTTAAATAACTGGTCGGGCTCCGGGGGTGTCACTGGGCTTTGGGTTGTGCATGGTCGGGCTTCGGTTCGTACATGGTTGTGCTTCAGCGGTTGTTTGTGTACTCGTGCTCCAGGTTTGTTTGCTAAGGCTCGATCTATGTTTACATGTTTGCTAGAAATCTGAGTTTCTTTTTGTGTATATAGTTCAATTGTTTGCTATGGCTCAAGAGTTGGTGTCTAGGGCAAGTGGAGGGTTTTAGGTATAGGCTAAGGAGATTTTTGTTTGGTCGAGCTACTAATGGTGTTTGGTTGTGCTCTGGGACTGTTTAGCTTTGTGGTTGTTGGATGAGATGTATACTTGCTAGGCTTACGGTTGCATAACTGGTCGGGGTCTGGTTACACAACTGGTCAAGCTTCGGTTACACAACTGGTCGGGCTCCGGTTAAATAACTGGTCGGGCTCCGGTTACACAACTGGTCGGGCTCCGGTTAAATAACTGGTCGGGCTCCGGTTAAATAACTGGTCGGGCTCCGGTTAAATAACTGGTCGGGCTCCGGTTAAATAACTGGTCGGGCTCCGGTTACACAACTGGTCGGGCTCCGGTTAAATAACTGGTCGGGCTCCGGTTAAATAACTGGTCGGGCTCCGGGGGTGTCACTTGGGCTGTGGGTTGTGCATGGTCAGGCTTCGGTTCGTGCATGGTTGTGCTTCAGCGGTTGTTTGTGTACTAGTGCTCCAGGTTTGTTTGCTAAGGCTCTATGTTTATATGTTTGCTAGAAATCCGGGTTTCTTTTTTTGTATATAGTTCAATTGTTTGCACTGGGTCAATATAGTTGGTGTCTAGGGCAAGTGGAGGGTTTTAGGTAGCGCTAAGAATTTTGTTCGGTCGAGCTAGGAATGGAGTTTGGTTGTGCTTTGGGACTGTTTAGCTTGGTGGGGGTTGGATGAGATGTATACTTGCTAGGCTTAAGGTTACACAACTGGTCGGGGTCCGGTTACACAACTGGTCGAGCTTCGGTTACACAACTGGTCGGGCTCCGGTTACATAACTGGTCGGGCTCCGGGGGTGTCACTTGGGCTTCGGGTTGTGCATAGTCGGGCTTTGGTTCATGCATGGTTGTGATCCAGAGGTTGTTTGGTTCGTTCATGCTAGGCTTGCGGTTACACAACTGGTCGGGGTCCGGTTACACAACTGTTAGGGTTCCAGTTACACAACTGGTCGGGCTCCGGTTAAATAACTGGTCGGGCTCCGGTTAAATAACTGGTCGGGCTCCGGTTACACAACTGGTCGGGCTCCGGTTAAATAACTGGTCGGGCTCCGGTTAAATAACTGGTCGGGCTCCGGTTAAATAACTGGTCGGGCTCCGGTTACACAACTGGTCGGGCTCCGGTTAAATAACTGGTCGGCTCCGGTTAAATAACTGGTCGGGCTCCGGGGGTGTCACTGGGCTTTGGGTTGTGCATGGTCGGGCTTCCGTTCGAGCAAGGTTGTGATCCAGAGGCTGTTTGGTTCGTTCATGCTAGGCTTGCGGTTAGACAACTGGTCGGGCTTCAGTTACACAACTTTTCGCGTTCCAATTGCATTACTCTAGGGGTACTGTGACTTGTTGGGGTTTGGGTTGTATATAGTTGTGCTCCAGTGGTTGTTTGTGTACTAGTGCTCCAAGTTTGTTTGCTAGGGCTTTATGTTTATGTTTGCTAGAAATTTGGGTTTCTTTTTTTGTATATAGTTCAATTGTTTGCTATGGCTCCATAGTTGGTGTCAAGGGCAAGTGGAGGGTTTTAGGTAGCGCTAAGAAGATTTTTGTTTGGTCGAGCTAGGAATGGAGTTTGGTTGTGCTTTGGGACTGTTTAGCTTGGTGGGGGTTGGATAAGATGTATACTTGCTAGGATTACGGTTGCACAACTGGTCGGGGTCTGGTTACACAACTGGTCGAGCTTCGGTTACACAACTAGTTGGGCTCCGGTTACAAAATATATACACATACTAAAAGAATAGGGGTGGTAGGAGAAGAAAATATCAGTGTTCAGTGAGGATTCACAAGGTCTTCTCCGGGTACTCTTTATTTTCTTCTCCGAGGCTATGTCGAGTCCCTACACTTGCACCAGAGGTGGTATATATATATATACACAATGTGTGTGTGTGTGTGTGCAGAAATAATATTAATAAAACAATTAACATCGCATAGTGTACTCTATATATCAAAATATATTACTTTGAAACTCGTATCAGTCACTAAACAAAAAATTGGGCTACTCCTGTCACAAATGCGCTACTTTTAGACCGTCAGCTCGCTACTTTCAGCAATTTGTACCTGGCAACCCGGGCTGGGCGAGCCGGCCAGGCCAGCCAGTGGCCAGCCAGCCTCAGCCGGAGGAAGTCATGTTGTCTCTCGCTGGTGAGACGGGTGAAGGTGTCTGGATGGGTCTCTCACTGTGGTCAACACATCCGCTATTCACTCGAGGTATTCTGCTTGTTGTGTCCGCCCTCTGCCGGTCTGTTTTTCCCAGCTTCCTCACCATGAACATAATTTTGTTTCTAGGGAATTATCATCTGAAGTAATCGCTAAGCTGGTACAGTTATATAGTAAGGGGTCTGGTAGCTGAGTGGACAGCGTGCGGGACTCTTAATCGTGTGGCCCGGGTTTGATCCCTGGACCAGGCAGATAGACCAACCCGTTCTCGCAAATTCGTAAAGTCAATATTGACTTATTAACTACGTTCATAGGTGATATACTAAACATAATAGATACCCTTAAAAAGATTCATAGAAAACACCGACCTTACCTAACCTTGTTAGTATCTTAAGATAAGCATCTTATTGCTTCGTAATTACAATTATTACTTAACCTATACCTATTATAGGTTAGGTAATAATTGTAATTACGAAGCAATAAGATGCTTATCTTAAGATACTAACAAGGTTAGGTAAGGTCGGTGTTTTCTATGAATCTTTTTAAGGGTATCTATTATGTTAAGTATGTCACCTATGCACATATTTAATAAGTCAATATTGACTTATTAAATTTGCGAGAACGGGTTGGATAGACAGATGGGCGGGGTTTCTTTCACCCTGATGCCCCTGTTATCTAGCAGTAAATAGGTACCTGGGTGTTAGTCAGCTGTCACGGGCTGCTTCCTGGGGGTGGCGACCTGGTCAAGGACCGGGCCGCGGGGACACTAAGCCCCGAAATCATCTCGAGATAACCTCAAGATGAGATGGCACCTCTTTTTCCTCACTGGTTCTATTCTGCCTTTCCTTCTGTATCTCATTCTCCAGTGTGTACTGGAGAATGTGTGCAAATCGCCTACTGTGCAAATTTGGGACCTTGCCCTCCAGTATCTTCCATGTATATATTCTTTGATACTTTTCTCGTCTCCTTTCCAGAGTACATTTTTACATTTTGAGAGCTTTGAGATTGTAAATTCAGTAGAATTCCTGGTTGCAATTCTTATACCATGTCGTAGCTCAGTCGATTAAGGCAGCGTCTGGGATGCTCTTGGACGCAGGTTCGAATCCTCGTTACGGCCCTTGTGGATTTGTCCCAATTTATTTATTTATTTATATATATATACAAGAAGGTACATTGGGATTGTGAGGATACATAGTATAGTACAGTACTGTAATTACATTCTTGTAAAGCCACTAGTACGCGCAGTGTTTCGGGCAGGTTCTTAATTAATCTGAAATTTTAATTCCTAAATAAAATATTAATATGAAATTCCTTAATCTGAAATGTTTATCTGAAACTAATAATTTATGTCTAGATCAGCCCCATCATGTCTGGTCTGCAGGCCCTGAACTATTTTACAAAATTATGATTATTACTATGAATTATTAACTACCATAGTGCAATACAGTATTGTAAGTGTGAATTGTGTGTGTAGGAACTTTATACTTTTCAGTCAGCCACTAAAAATGGCAAATCTACAATGGTTTCCTGTTTGTTCTTGAATGTGACCAGACTAACCTGTCAGAGGTGAACTAAATAGCTTAAAATGGGCTGAAAATTTGCTAACATTTTGAGATCTAGGTATGTACTGGACATGCTGTTCTGCTTCATTATGTAAGGGACAGTGTTTGTGATATCTTTGACACTGAAAGATAGCGTTAAAGATTGACGTTGCCATTGCTAAATTATTTGAACATTTCAAACCTAGACAATACTGTTGTGGAACTCTTGCCTTTCAGGAGAGCCAAATGATAGCCTAGAGAAACTGTAGATCTATATCGCATGCCTACAGGCTCGAGCCACATGTAAGTTTACCATCTGGCTCCAGGTCGGGCTCGGGGAGTAGAAGAACTCTCAAAACCCTCCCCAGGTATGCTCCAGGTATTGATGAGGAAATTTAACAGCACCAGAGCTGTAGAACTTGTACATGAAAATATTCTTGCCAATGTACTAGATATTGCCCAAGGTATGAAACTGCACGCGATGCTCATGTCATGGACTGGTGCCAACATCAGTGCAGTCTGTTACATTGACATGGTATGTAAGGCTCGAGGACGATAGTGCCTGAAACGCACTACATATTAGTGACTTTGTGCATTGTACTTGCCTATGTATAATTCCTGTTTATGTATCGTATACTGTGTATGTAGAGTTGTGTAAATAAATTACTTTCTTTTATTATTCTTTATTTATTATTCTTTATTATTTTATAATTCTTGTTCTAGGGTTATCATGGCAAATCCGATGACTTGAGCCACAACTGTACACAGGTTATGGAACACAACCCAAGCGGTCATAATGACCCTCATCGGAGGATGTCGACAACACACGGCCCAACTGTGAAAGTGACTACCCATGCCAAGGTGTTGCTACCATTTCTCTCGCTCAAGGTAAGAAGTGCCGGGTATGTTGAAAACTAAGTAATTTTGTGATTGCTGTTCCATAAGGAAGAGATCAATCGATGAACAAAAGTGCAGTACGAGGGTCTAGTTATTGGGATTGAGGTGTCAAGCACAATATTGCACTTTGTATACTGAATAATAATAATGTAAACGACTAGTGATAGTGGCTTATGAGACCCTTAAAATTCACGAATTCCACCACAAGGCTCTTATTATTTGGATCACTTGCCTTAACCCTTCCAGGACGCAACTGTTAAATAATTGCGTTATTTATTGCGATATGGTCCAGGACGGACCGAAACGTCGTCGTTCCTTCAACTTCTAGTGTGTGGTCTGGTCAACATACTTCAGCCACGTTATTGTGACTCATCACCTGCTTATTGCGATACACAAACAGGTAATATCTCAGTGATGTGAAACAAAAATTGTTCTAATTCTTTGTTTTAACATTGTTAATTAGCATTCAGGAAGCATGAAAATCTAAGTAAACAGTCTAACTCTTGCAGCTTAGCTGTAGTGGCCTGAGAAGTAGTTGCTAAACATGGACCTCATCTTTTTACTAAGTAGTACAGTTGGGTGCATTCTAGACTCAATCGGGAACAAATCCACAAAGGCCGTGACGAGGATTCGAACCTGCGTCCGGGAGCATCCCAGACACTGCCTTAATCGACTGAGCTACGACAGGGTTAAAAGGGTTGAAACTGAAGTTCTACTGAACTTACTGGATCCCGTAGCCTCTCTGAGGTACAAAGGTATTTGTTCATTTGATGCATCACGTTAGTGTGATCTCTGTGTGTGATCTCAATCGGGAAATTCGGGTAGGAAGGCATTGGTTGGACACACTTCCTATTGTATAATGCCTCTGTTCATCTAGCAGTACTGTAATTAGGTACGTAGGAGTTAGTAATCCGTTGTGTGGCTGCATCCTGGGAAGGGTCAGTAGTTTGACCTTGGGTGGACCTCGAAATAGGCCTAATGTTCACTGGCTGCCTGTCCCTAATAAAACCCTACCTCAACTTGTGGAAGTTGAGTGAGATACTGTACATGCAAGATACTGAAAGGTCAGGGCCTTGAAATGCACTGCAAAATTGCAACATTCTGGAGCAAAAGTTAAATAGGAATTGCAGAATATCCCTAGTAATGAGTACAGGTGCTATAGGCACAACTAAAAAACACTGTACGAGTATCAGAGGTTCAAGCTGCTTCAGTCTCCACCCAACAAAGAAGACATTACCTTTAACAAAACTGTTAAAAAATAGTTTGATAAGGTCTTGCAGAAAGTGCCGAACTAGCCTGTCCTGTAATGGATAATGTGCACTTGTGGGCTGCTCAAAGCAACTGCCTTCTAGATAGTTATCACATGTCAAGCTTGGACCCTAAGCTGGGTTTCAAGTAGAACTCAGAACCCACTCCAGGTATACATGTCATTACAGCCAATCTCGGATGCGTGAATGTCATTATGAAGTACAGTACAGTACAATTAATCACAAAAGGAAATGATCTAAACAATCCAATGACTAGTATAAATTGGTGGTATTTGACTTTGCATTCTCAGTGATTTGGATGAAACATAGATGCCATTGCATAGTACCACTACGCGAAGTTTAATAAAGACCCTGAAGCTTGAGAACTATAATAAAAACTTGACTGCATGTTCTTTGAAGGTAGTCTTGGTAGTGATTGGAACCTTCACTGCCGAGATTGTTACAATGCAACCACTACATTTCATTTTGTTAGGTATGCAAATGAGTCTACTTATTACAATTCAACCAAGCAGAGCGAAACTTTAACAGAAAACAAATTAATTCTTTGGACATGTGCTTACTAACACAGGCTTTCTCCATTCCCTAAGCAGATTGCCAACATAAAGAATGCAGCACCTTCAACATGCCATTTAAGTACAGTACATAGTTTTCTGGGAATGGCTAACTACTAACTCTATTCTAGATTTCACTGCCAAAACACCCAAGCACACAAATGGCGGCCGAAAACAGAGCAGTAAACGGCCAAGCAGAGGCAGAACCCAAGAAACTTGTGGAAGGTAGCCCCAAGGGCAGTACTTACTGGGCACCTAGGGAAGGGAACCCTAGACGCATGCAGCCCGAGTACTGAAGACATTCTCCTGGCTCGCGCACCACCTAGAAGTCAGAGCCAGAGCACACGACCTCTGCCTATAGCATCAGCCTCAGAACTGGGGTGTGGATTGCCAGCATGGGGGTCTGGAGCTCTCCCTTCCCCCTCCCGGGGAGGGGGGAGATGCACAGACAGCGGCTTGGGCGACGTGTGACGTCATGCTCGTTTGTTTGGGGAGTTCTATCCATTTGTTTGGCTTTTTGTAGCAATTTTCTCCAGAATAGGGGGTTTGTTTTGGAACACTTACCCCTCTGGGTGCCTGACCTGGTCAATGGCAGACATAGAATGCTTCCAACCACACAGGGGGTTTCTATAGACTATTGCTCTTGGTGCCTTTCTGAGGGGGGCCAGGTTCTGGCTCGTGGTCCCGGTAGCCTGACAGAACTTAATACACGTGACTGATGCCAAAGTCTGACATTAGCATATCAGCCTGGATAGCTCTGTGGAGCCTCCGGGTCTCGACTAGAAAATGGTGTTTCATTACATTCAACGCTGGTTTTTTGGCTTTTGCTGGATAGGTGTGCTATGCCAAGTACTGTCACCTCGCATCATGCGATGCTGGCAGAGCCTCTCCGGCATGTGTTCAGGGTCGATGCTTCCTCAGCCCCATTTTGCAAGCTTTCTTGGGCACTGTTTCACCTTCAGCCTGCTCATGTGCCACTTAGACCTGTTTGATCTTTGGACAGTGTTCTTCCCTGTTGATTACCGTATTTGCTAGCGTACAAGACGCATTTTTTTGTAATGTATCAAAAAATTGCCATGCGTCTAATGCAGCCGTATTACGGATGCGAGACCAAGCGCCATAGGCTTAGGGAGCCAAATTAGCGTGCTGGGCATGTTTGCTAGGCAAAAGTCTTTGGCTCGTTTTCAATATTTTATTATTACCAAATTATTACAGTAAATTTAGTAATAAAATATTGAAAACAAGCAGTTATCAGTCTGTTACCATACTAAGGGAAAATTGGTTAAGATATACATTGGTAGTTATGAAGGAAGCTTGCATCATCATTCCACCTTACTCAACATGTATAATCCACACCTGATATGTCATACATTATTTAACGACTGTTACCTTTAAGGAACTTTTAATCATTATATAAATAGAAAAATGCTCCTAGAAATTTGAAATGAATGTTACATTTACCATCCGCTGTTGGCCATTTGCAATTGATGAATGACTACAAAACCACAGCGCTGTAATGATGTGCCGCCCTGGTGGCCTGATGCGGAAACAAAACATTTCATCCTGAAATAAGTCATGAGTTGGGGTTACAGAATCCACTTTTAAATATCTTTCAATAAATGTACGATGAAACGTACTGAAATACTTTTTTTCCACGAAATATTCTTTATAAAATAGGGGTGCATCCTATGCAAGGGTGCATCTTTTATGCCAGCAAATATGGTACCTGTTGAAGATTCCGGGGATTAATGTGCCAGTGGCCCAGTCTCTGTCCAGGCCTCCTTGTTGCTGGTCTGATCAACCAGGCTGTTTGATGTTACTGCTTGCAGCCTGAGGTACGAGCTGCAGCTTGGTTGATCAGGTATCTTTTTGAAGGGGCTTGTTGAGTTCTCTTTTGAACACTACGAGAGGTCGGCCAGTTATGCCTATGTAATTACCTAAATGTAGTTACAGGATGAGTCACGCTCGTGGTGTCCTGTCTTCCCAGTACTGTCATATAACGCTTTGAATCTACTGACGGATTTGGCCTCCACTACCTTCTCGCTTAGCTTGTTCCAACAGTCTACATGTGTAGAGGTAGTGTTGAAAAGTCTTGGAGCTTTCTCTGCATGCTTATTGCATCTCTGCTCTTCAGTGGGGTTATTTTGCACATCCTGCCATTCCTACTGGTCTTGTGTGATGTTATATTTATGTGCAGATTTGGAACCAGTCCTTCTAATAAGTGTAAATTATGCATTTCTCCTGCCAGTACTCTAGTGAATAGATTTACAAATTTTAGGTGATCCAAATGTGTTTTATTTAATGGATTCTAGTGGTAAAGGATATTTGCAGGCTTGCCAGGTCTGCAATTTCTCTAGTTTAGAATGGGGCTGTTAGTGTGCAACAATATTTCACTAGAGCACTAATGTCTTGAAATGTATCATCGTTGGTGTATAAGCTATACTGTACTGTGCCTAAATCCTAAATGCTAATCTTGATCTGAAACTTCCTTGATAGTTGTAATAGAATCCATGAGCACCACACCAGAAATAAATCTCTTTGATATCCCCAGAGTCGGGCTAAATCTGTGCAAACACTTCATGCAAATAAAAGGGCCCAGTCTTTGGCACTCGCTCCCTGGTGAATTAAAAAAAATGTTCCAACCTATACCTTGTTCAAAAGTAAAACCAAAAGGTAACTAATTAATTCCTCGGTTTCCTACCATGTGCTTCAAACACTCATTGTTCTTGTACTACCCACTTACCCAATATTAGTGCTAAATACTAATTAAGTACTTCATCTCTACCAGTGTCAATCACCTCTGTCAATTTATATTGTTGATATAAAACCTTGCTACAATGTACTTTTTCACCTTGCCTAATATGTTAGATTAAGGACTTGTCCGAAACGCTCTGCATGTTAGTGGCTTTGCAAGAATGTAAAACTATCACACTAATGTAATCTCGCCAACCCATTGTGCCTTCTTGTAAATAAATTATTATAATAAATATTTAAGTGTGAAAATGAAACATCAGATACCCTCAGATACTTCGTGCTGAGATTAGCTTGTACCAAATGGACAGTGATAATACAACTTAAAAATGGAATATAAAAGTGAATAGCTATTATTTAAGGTTCTGGTAGTAGTCTGGTTTATTCTACATTCGCAATTGAGAATTACAGGTTCGAATCCTGGGAAGCACAGAAATATTTGGGCCCATTTCCTATCGCCTAATGCACCTGTTCACCTAGCAGTAAGTGCATACAGTACATGATACATAATATAAAATAACACCTGTATCCTCCAGAACAATCACAAACATTTTCATGCAGTACATGTTACTTTCTGTGCATTACTGTGTATTTATTTATTTATTTATATACAAGAAGGTACATTGGGGGTTAACAGAGAACATAGAAATTAGGTTGATTTTACATTCTTGTAAAGCCACTAGCACGCATAGCGTTTCGGGCACCAAAATGCATGACTTCCAATAACTTTACAATCCTTCATAACAATGACAAACATCACCTAATACATGTTATCAATGCAAAATATGCATACAATGAATAATGCACTGAAAACCTGACAATCCATAACTTTTCTCAGCACCAATCAAATATGTGGCAAACTTCTGTAAGACCACAAAGAAGTCTGTATCCTCGGCTGACCTCTTGAACTTTACTTTTTTCCTTGATCATTAAATTAATGGTGACAACTGTGGCAACACTTTCTGAAATACCTGTAATACTCCCACATACCCAGAAAATGCAGTACCCATTTTTTGTTTCACAATTTGGGGTATTCTACAATAGCTGTGTGACAAGGTTAATGCCATCTGTCAACCACACATGACTCCACTTTCTCTGCATGGCAGGCTGTGGTCTCGCTGAAACAGGTGTCGTTTCCCTCATACTGTATATGATTTTCTTTCCTCAGAGGTGATGTGAGAGGTACGATGGATGGCGGAAAGCGGTTCACCAGGCATGGCCAGCAAGGGCAGTTCTCAGGAACATAAGGCTTGTTTTGGTTGAAACAAGAAAGGTCTAGTCATTGAAGGCAGTGAACTGTCTGTTGATAGCCAGCGAGTTACTTGTTGGAATGACGTATCTTGGAGGTGGCCAAGTTGTGTTCGTAGATGGAGTGAACATCTGCCAGTCCACTGGATTAAGGCTTGACTCTGTGGTAATACTGTAGAGGACTGGCCTATGAATTGCTGGGCAAGTGGACTTGCTGGCATGAGTACCTCAGAAGGGCACACGGGGAAAGAGCCCCGAGTGGTGTTAGGACGACGACTCGCCATGATAGAAGAACGCAGAGATTTTTGTGGTGTCCTGTGTGAAGGCGACATGTAAGGCGTTATCTGTGGTATGTATATTGGTGTATGTTTCTTGTAAATAATTACTTGTACAAACGATTCAAGTACATTTGATGGTTTTTGTCTATTGTTCAACCCTCTTCCCCTTTTTGGTTGTCTATTACTGCTCAGTTCTTGATGACTTTACCCTGATGTGGGGTTGGATCTCTGAAGACAGTGGCACAAAGACCCTATTGATAGACAAAAATGAACCCAAGAGGCCTGGCTAATTGAGGCCCCTAGCTAGAAGAGATCTTCTGTGGTAGGACTTTACCTGTGCCAACCTCGTAGCCTAAGTAGACACAGAGTACTACGTGTTTACTACAGTACTACATGCAGTACTACATCAAAACAAACATCTAGAATATATCGAAGTGAGATTTGCTCCTTTAAAACCAAACAATTGTTTAAGTCTGATAATATGCTCCTCCCAAGTGTCTGTAAATACCAATGTCATCCAAATAGGTTTTACACTTGGGAGCATCAGCTAACAAAGCATTCACGAGTCATTGAAATGTGGCAGGAGCATTTTTCAGCCTGAAAGATAATGCTTGATACTCGTAAATTCCCTAATGGGATGACAAGCTGTGATCTTTCTATCTTGGGGAGTAAGTGGAATCTGGTGATAGCCTCGTGAAAAATCAAACTTTTATACATAATGTGCATGACCTATTGATCAATGCAGTCTTCAAGTAAGGGTAAAGGAAACACGTCCACAGTAGTCAACTGATTAAGATGTCTGTACAAAGCTGTCATGTACCGTCTGGTTTTGTAATCAGGAGGCAGGGTAGCTCCATGATCCCTGGCTCGGCTTTACCAATCTATTTTTCAATAGGAAGTCCACCTCTTCCTTGACAATGGCTCTCTTGTAAGAATTCATGCAATAAGGTGGTAGTCTAATAGGGGTATAGTCAGTCAGGTTATGTGAACTGATGGACATCTGTGTTGGAATCTCTAAACAGGGTCGAAAAGTCATCTAGCAACTGCTGCACCTCCTTATGTTGAGACACCTGTAAATGTTAGATCTTCTCCACCACAATATTCCCAGAGTTAGAATGGGTTAAATAGGGTTTAGTTGGATCCCCAACATGTTTTTTGTCCTGTAATCAATACATATGAATGAGAAGGATCAACAGACAAGGGGCCCTGGAACCTCGTCAGTTTCAGGTGCGCAACCATCCATTGTATCGTCCCACATGGCAGCCACTCTAATTTAACACTCCCATTTTCTCCTGAATAACATAGTGACCCTTGTATTTGTGGACCATGGAGCTACCCCCACAAAATTTCAGAACCAACACATGATCACCAGGATCAAATTCACGTAGCTTAGCTCAGTGATGTTTATCATACTTGTCCTGCACTTTTCCCAACTGTTAGAGAGCCACTGCCCTCACTTCCTTCGACCACTCGAAGTGTTTATCCACAAACTTCTTGTGGAAATTCATGACCTGTGGAAGTTTGACTACCACAAGTTTTTATGCAGACAGTTGATCACCCAAAAAATATCTCTTGAAATATCAACAAAGTACCATGGACCTTGTGTCCTAATACCAGCTCAAAAGGCGAGTAACTTAAAGATCCCTTGACTCCCTCCCGAGCTGCAAACAAAACATAAGATAAATTTTCATCCCAAGCTCAGTTAGAACTTTCACCAGCCGTTTTAATCATCTGATTCAGAGTTTGATGTCATCTTTCCAGAACTCTTGACTCTGGGTGTAATCAGTACTATCATTTTTTATTGCAGTAATGTTGAAATCAAATTCTGCTGCACTGGACCTTTTAATTGCTCTCACTTTTATCTGTTAGGGTAAGGTCCTGCTCGAAATGCTATGCATGTTGGTGGCTTTGCAAGAATGTAAGAGCAATGTTATGTACTCCAACAACCCAGTGTACCTTCTTGTATATAAATTAATACATTGTTGATTTTTTTAAGACATTGCTAATATGCGTGCGCACGTACATGTATAGCACTGATCATATGTAAATTAAGGTAGTTTCCTAATATGTACTCTCCTAATTGTGCTTGCAGAAGTCAAACTTTGGCTCTATGGGATTTGTTGACTCCCTCAGTACAAAATATTATTAAAATTAAAAACTAGCTACTATGCAACAGAAAAGAAATAAACTGGGAACTTTGGCAATCTGCTGTTAATGGTAGTTCTGTGGTCCTGGGAAGACTGTGTAGGGTTCCTTACTGGGTTTGTGTTCGAGTAAGACCTGGAAGTGATAATGCCGCCTTCATTTACCTGTCGGATAATTTTTTATTATTATTATTTATACAGTGTATACAAGAGTTCTTACATTCTTGTAAAGCCACTAACATGCATAGCATTTCGGGCAGGTCCTTAATCCTAATTTCCCTGGCATACGACCTGCTAAATCTCTCTTTTTTTTTTTAACCACCAGGTACCCATTCACTTCTGGGTGAACAGACATACAGCTAAGGATTGGCACCTAATCAGTCCTCCCTGGCCCAGGATACGAAACCAGGCCAAATTGCTCATGAAGCGCCGAGCGAGTATTTACTACTGTGCCATGAGGACTATTAATCTCATTAACTAATGGTAAAATTAGAGGTGTATAAAGTAGCATGCACTGATATTAGTTATTTACTGTTATTTTTGCCTAACCTTTTAATTCTGATATCTTGTCACATATGAATTATATAGTATTATAAATAATGGCAAAATTATTATTTTATTCTTTTATCATTGCGAATTTATTTATTACAATACAGTATATACTGTGCATACTTTAATCTTTATCTACTGCAATATATTTCACTTTTAAATATTGTTAAATATTTGTTAACCTGCTTGATTGGGTTCTGGGAGTTCATCTACTCTCCAAGCCTGGCCTGAGGCCAGGCTTGACTTTGAGAGCTTGATCCTACAGGCTGTTGCTTGGAGCGGCCCGCAGGCCCCAACATCCACCACAGCCTGGTTCATCCAGCACTTCTTGAAGAAAACTGTAGATTTTTCTTTGTCCACAGTTTTTCCGGCAATATTTCTTACACTTGCTGGGAGTATGTTGAACAACTGTGGGCCTTTGATGTTTATACAGTGTTTTCTGATTTGCCTACGGCACCCCTTCTCTTCACTGGTTATATTCTAACCTAACTGGTCGTATTTAATAGGCTGGTAAGTAATTTACATACTGAAGTGGGCTCAAATGCCCATAGTAGTAACTGCATGTGCAGATACTAATGGGGTTAGCGGCACAAAGAAATTGTATCCAAATCTTTAATAACGCCACCAACCTTGCTTATTTTTTAATGTAATTTGCAGGTATGGAGCTCTTGGGCTTGTACATTTTTAAGACCTTGGCCCTCTTGGTGGGCCTGAGCTATGTAGTGGTGGTGTAATGGTATCTGTGTGGTCCAGTAGCATTACTCCACCTTACACTTCTGTGTTATTTTATATCACTTTAAAGTTTGACACTCATTTCCTTGTATAAGCTGTGTGTCGTATAGTATTCACTTTATGCTTTAGTTTATTAAATCACACATGTCCTGACTTCCGGGACGAGCGTGTGTCTTGTTTTCCGACCATCCCCCGTGGTCACTTGTCCCTCGATAGTATTCTTGGTGACTCGGATACTTTTGATATCGTTCGCCATATGCGTTTCTGTTCTCGTATTGGCATCCTTGATGATATTTAGCGCCCTCTGATTATCCCGCACATTTGATGGTACTACATAGCCTTCCCGGTTTGGTGCCTTCTTTTGATAATTACTTACTCGTTAAATCACAAAAAGGTTGACAGGGATGTAAAACGGCTGTTGACACGAGGGGTGTACACTCATTGTTTGTGTGTTGATGACTTATTGTGATTGTCTGTGTGGCCCTCCTTGTATGTTGGGGTTCATATAAACTTGCACTCATTTATATAACTTTAAAGTGGTGTTTTTATAGTTTATTTAATGTGAAATGACACAAAGGTCCACGGGAATGTAAAACGGTTGTTGATGCAGCATGTACACCCGTGGTGTGCCTTGATAATGGTTTTGTGACTGGCCTAGTAGCAGTCTGTATACCAGTCATATCCACACAGTCAGGTATAGTTGACCCACCTGGGGCCAGATTCACGAAGCAGTTACACAAGTTCTTACGAACGTGTACATTTTTCCCCAATCTTTGACAGTTTTGGTTACATTTATTAAACAGTTTACAAGCATGAAACTTACCGATCAACTGCTGTTTTTATGAACAGCCTCCTGGTGCTTCGGAGCTCATTAATTGTTTAATAATTGTAAACAAAGCTGACAAAGATTGAGAAATGTGCAGGTTCGTAAGTGCTTGCGTAACTGCTTCGTGAATCTGGCCCCTGGTTTAAAGATCGATTAATTATCCCCATTTACCAAACATATTTGGTTAAATTGAGCTATTGATTGTACCTACTTTAGACTATTACCATATGCTTGTAGCTATTGGAATTAATTACATATCCTGGTATAGAACCTATTACAGATGCCTCTCCTAGGTAGGTAATCTCAAAATGGTTGACTTTTGCTGAATAAACAGTGTCAGCTGGGAGGGCTTGGCTTGGGTCTAAAAATAGCCAGACATGGACAATGTGCTTTCTTGTTCTATAATAAGACCCTTGTATGTCTTCTATATGCACTCTTTGGTAAATATTTTCTGTACTCCGGTCCCACCTCTCCACCATTAATCAAGTGGTGTAAAAGTTCCTGAGCTTATTGGGCTCTATCATATCCACATTTGAACCTGTGTATGGAGTCTGCCTTCACCACATCACTGCCTAGTGCATTCCATTGAACTACTGACACTGAAAAAATTATTTTAATGACTGTGGCTCATTTGGGTACAAAGTTTCTACACGTCTTCCTTTGTCTGTCTTCCACGCTAATTTTTTTTTTTTTTTATCTAACCTGTCAATTCCTCTTGAGAATTTTGTAGGTGGTGATCATGTATTTCCTAATTCTTGTCTTCCAGGGACTTTACCACCTGTAGCCTTTCCATGCAATTCATACATCTCAACTCTGGGACTAGTTTGGTGTCATACCTCTGAATTTTCTCTTAAATTTGTCGTGTTTGATTAGGTATGGATTCCAGGCTGGAGCTGCATACTTAATGATTGATTTGACATGTATGGTATATAAGGTTCTCAATGATTCCTTCAAAGGCATCTGAAATCTAGTTCTTATATTGGTCACTTTAGCATATGCTGCTGCTGATATCCTTTTGATGTGGGCTTCTGGGAACAGGTTTGGTGTTAGAAATCTCAAGATCTTTCTACCTTATTCCAGAGGGATTTCATCTCCCAAATGGCATGTTATGTTCAGCTTCCTGCTGCCTTCACCTATTTTTATTGCTTTACACTTTAAACTTTAGAAGCCATATGTTTGATCATTCCTTCAAATTGTGTAGGTCATCTTGTAGGGTCTTGCTTTCTTCCTCCATCTTTATCCTTTTCATAATTTTAGCATCATCAGCGCACACTAAGATAGTCTATACCCTCCAGAAGAACGTTTACATGTACAATATCAGACCCAAGATGGGTCCAAGTGCAGAATCCCCTGTTGGACTCCGCTGATGACATCTCATCACACTGAGGTCTATCCTCTACCTTCCACAGTAACTCACTCTTTTCTGTTGCCTAGACATTCTTGTATACACTGGAGCAACTTACCTGTTATTCCTGCATTTCTCCAATTTCTGTACCAGCCTCTTATGGAGAACTGTATCAAAGGCTTTCTGACAGTAAATGCAGTCTGCCCACCTGTCTCTTTCTTGCCAAATGTTTGTTGCCTTGTTGTCTATTAAATTTGTGTGGCTGTATTTACCATTCCATATCCCATGCTGGTGGTAAAGTTTCTCTCTCTCGATATGTTCTACAAGCATTTTCATTCCGATCTTCTCCAACTTGTGTGGTATACAAGTTAGGAAATGTTTATTTACTAGACTATGCTATAACTTTTGGGTTTATATAAATTGTGCTTATATTCTAGTGCTTACTGCAATATGATGGGCAAGCTTAAATGATTAATAGGTAAAGGAAAACATTAATTATTTAGTGAAGTTATTTACGAATTATGTAAATACTGAAGCTGTCTTAAAGGGCAATTTAGATGAGGCAACAAATGGATCAGATAGCCAGGTTGCTCCCAAACTTGATTTAGTGGTGTGCAGGTTTTCTCCAGGGCAGGACGTGGGCAGCTCGTTGCTATGACCACCCTATAATATTCGTATTTAAATTGTTGCCGAGTAGTAAGAAGTACCCTTTAGTTATGATGGTGCTACATAGCCTTCCCGGTTTGGTGCCTTCTTTTGATAATTACTTACTTAACCTTTAGTTATTTTATGCAGTATAGGAATTAAATTATTCACATGTAATTAGAAAACTAAAGTACCACCAACTATATTGATTTTATCTAGGTTAAACTATTTTATGCTGCTTGCTTTAGTAATGTGTACCTTGTGCAGTCATTCCTGTGTATTGGAAATGGAAATCTTGCTAGATTTGATTAGGGTAAGCTGTAATTACTCGTTGAACTGTGTATAATTGCTCCAATAATAAACCTTAATTTTTGCTTGTATTTACTTGTACCTCCTACCACTGGCATGTATTCCTAAGAAGCAAGGTAAGCATTGCCTACACTTTAAAAAAAAATTCCCCCCAAAATTAAAACATCTTTATACTGTGTAGTTAAAATAGTTTAATTCAATTATATAGAACATTCTGATGTGTCTAATATCCAAGACAAAAAAAAATAAACAAGCTGCTTGAAATTGTCCTAAAAAATACTTTACCTTCCATTTTTAGTAACCTCATTCCATCCTTTCGCAGAAAATAATATTCCACTGCCAGACATATGACATACAAATAATTAACTTATCTTTTTCCAGAACCATGTAAATAAGGTTCAGATCAATCTAATACCTTACCTTGAGGTGCTTCCGGGGCTTAGCGTCCCCGCGGCCCGGTTGTTGACCAGGCCTCCTGGTTGCCGGACTGATCAACCAGGCTGTTGGACGCGGCTGCTCGCAGCCTGACGTACGAGTCACAGCCTGGTTGATCAGGTATCCTTTGGAGGTGCTTATCCAGTTCTCTCTTGAACATTGTGAGGGGTCGGCCAGTTATGCCCCTTATGTGTAGTGGAAGCGTGTTGAACAGTCTCGGACCTCTGATGTTGATAGTTCTCTCTCTCGGAGTACCAGTTGCACCTCTGTTTTTCAACGGGGGTATTCTGCACATCCTGCCATGTCTTCTGGTCTCGTGTGATGTTATTTCTGTGTGCAGGTTTGGGACCAGCCCCTCTAATATTTTCCTCGTGTAAATTATTATGTACCTCTAATACGGTGTAGAAAGCATTCTGATAATGTCTCCACTGTAATATTTATCACAGTACTGTATAATTGTTTTAGAGAATTGGACAAACATAAGCACAGTGTTCTGCCAGGTCCTCTCCTGCTAGTAGTATGGGAGGGGCTTGAAGCACAGCAGCATTACCAGTTTATTAAATTCAATCATAAATTCATATTGGTAAATAATAACCATCTAATCTAGGGTTGTCATACGTCTGTATTTTCCAGGACATGTCCTGCATTCAGGTGTCAAAATTTGCATCTGGGAAGAATTTACAAAATTCTCAATCTGAAATTTCAGCTTCCATCACTAAAAATTATCTATATAAATCTATTTACCTATATCAATATATTTATATACATGTACTGTATATATTTATGCAGTGACTTAGACTTTTTTAAAGTCTAAACAAGGCTTTGCTGAAATAAATCGGATCTACAGGATAATATGCATGGGGCACATAAAGATATAGACAGTAGTGGTAGAAGATTGTAACTATAGGAGTTCAACATGATCAGTTTCACGTAAAAGTAATTTTGTTGCATAATTTGTTTTTGTCTTCTAGTTTTGGCATATTTAATGCCTCTTACCTCTCCTCATAGCTCTTGTCCTTCATTTCTAGGAGCCATTTAGTTGCATGTCTTTGCACCTTTTCCAGTTTGTTGCTGTCCACCTGATGGCACCATACAGGGGACTTAGTGGTGTCCTGAATTCTGATCGTTCAGATATGGCAACCCTACTCTACAGGAATGTTATGACCATTACCGTCTTGACTACCTTGTACGGTCCTGACAACATGCTCGCACTCCATTATGTGGTGCTTTGACTGTTGGGCCCCTACTGCGGTCTCTGTTGCCTTACAGCACCTTCCTTTTTCGGTGATTACAAATACATTTTGGAATTTTTTGTTAGCGGGATTGGTTACTTTTTGTTGGCGGATTTGTAGTAGGCAGAATTGGAATGTTTGTGCTGGTGGATTTGGAATTTTTTGTTTGCAGATTTTGATTTTAAAGTCTTGTCATAATTCCTGGGGAGCTGATAAGATGCATGCTCCTCTATTTACGTCATGCTCTCTAAAGTCAATTATGGATGTCCCGCCTACTCTCGTCTGCCTCTCCTTCAATTCTTCGTGTCTGCACCATACTGGGTTATGTCTTGGCTCTGGTGCCTCTCATTCATCCCTGAGCCTGTATGTGGAACCATGTCCTGTCTTCACATCTACAGGAAGATTCCTGTAGAATATTCTTCACATTCCTGTCTTCACATTACAGGAATATCACTGGTATTGTCTTGGCTACCCTTTAAGATTTTGTTACGCTACATTAAACAAAACTAGAAAAATCACAAAAATGTGCAACAAAGCTTGTTCCTGAGCTATGGAGAAACTGAGGGAACTCTGATTTACTATACAAGAGGAAAGCAGGAATAGGGCAGACATGATAATGACATAAAAGATGCCAAGGATTGGCAAAGTATATAAAGAAATAATGTTCGAATGAAAGGACATAATTGGAAACTGGAAATGAATCGATGAGATGTCTAACGTTTTTCAGTCAAACAGTTGTAAATAAGTGGAACATAAGCTAACTTTATACAGTTTTACGTGTAAATATAAACTTGAAGCACAACTAGGTGAGTACATACATACGTACGTTAGGGGCCTCGCGGCTGAGTGGACAGCGCTCCGGTGTCGTACTAATAGTCAGGGTTCGATTCTCGGCGGAGGCAAACAAACTGGGCAGTTTCTTTCACTTAATGCACCTATTCACCAAGTAGTAAATAGGTACATGGGAGTTAGACAGCTGCTACGGGCTGCACCCCTGGGAATATGTGAGATATGTATGTAGTAGATACGGTGGAGAAAAATAGGTGGGTAGTCTGTACATTAGAGAACAGGCGGGTAGAAAGGTGGGGTCCAAGAGCTAACAGCTCGATCCTGCAAACACACACAAATCAACCCATCCACTTGTTTAAATAATACTCTTTGTAATTGTGAACCGTTGTACATATATAAACATAATGGACAATTACATATAAATTGGTAAGTCATTTTATAAAATTCAGAAAATAAATTTAAAAGCCAAATTGAAATATCCCTAGGTCGCGAATTGTATGTATGTATGTGTATATATGTACATATAATGTACTATATTAGACCTGATATAGCATATATTAGGCCTAGGATGGCTAAGTGATATTCGCAACATAAATATAAAACATTTTCCGGTTTACCCAAATTCAACAATACCAAAATCTTTTATTTGTCCACTACGTCAATGAACACACACACACACTGGCGCCCGCGTAATACGCAGTTACAACTCTTAACATAAAAAAAAATTGCGATGCACTGAGTAAGTCTCTGGGTTAATTAGACAGGTAAGATAACTGTCGATTTGTCTTAGTGTTGTGAGGCAACTGGTGAGGTGTGAGGGGAGACGAATGAGGGTAAACACGAGATAGCAATAATTAACCAGATAGCCACCCAAACACGTGACAGTCGCGAGACAGCCTCCCAGATACGTGACAGTCGCGAGACAGCCTCCCAGATACGTGACAGTCGCGAGACAGCCTCCCAGATACGTGACAGTCGCGAGACAGCCTCCCAGATACGTGACAGTCACGAGACAGCCTCCCAGACACGACAGTCGCGAGACAGCCTCCCAGATACGTGACAGTCGCGAGACAGCCTCCCAGACACGTGACAGTCGCGAGACAGCCTCCCAGACACGTGACAAACACGAGACAGTCTCATCAACAGAAGAGACGTAACACACAAGCCCACCAACAAAAGACAATCGAGGAATGGCGTTGCAGCTTCCCGCCTCCCTTGCACAAGGAGGGAGCCGGTCGGCCGAGCGGACAGCACACTGGACTTGTGGTCCTGTGGTCCTGGGTTCGATCCCAGGCGCCGGCGAGAAACAATGGGCAAAGTTTCTTTCACCCTATGCCCCTGTTACCTAGCAGTAAAATAGGTACCTGGGTGTTAGTCAGCTGTCACGGGCTGCTTCCTGGGGGTGGAGGCCTGGTCGAGGACCGGGCCGCGGGGACACTAAAGCCCCGAAATCATCTCAAGATAACCTCTCAAGATAACCTCCCACATGTTGAAGGTCTCCTGCTGTTTCAAATATTCATATTCAAATATTTTTGAATATGTTTTATGAATGTTTCGCAAAGTTCTTGCAAAGAGTATATATAAGATGCTTATTTGCAGTTTCGTCCTTTGCTAATTACACAGTTTGGTGGTTCTTCCTACGAACTGCCACATACTAATTTGAAATACTTTGGCGGGAAACGGCCACCCAACGTCCACTGGTGAGAGACATCTAGAATGTTTTAGAGTGTCATTCCTGATGGTTTATCGAGAGAAATGATGGGCAGGGATAAGTACTCGAATAGTTGTGCTTGCGGGGGTTGAGCTTCGGCTCATTGGTCCCGCCTCTCGTAATTCTCCCTGTTCCCGCCTTTTCACATAAGTGAAGGCGTATGAGGAGCAAGTCTTATGTGAACGAGAGACGGGGTCTATGAAACGTTGGCACAGGAAGCGTAAATGTAACAGTAGCATGGAGCTAAGAACGCCCCAATACAGTCACTTGAAGCACAGACGATGGCACAGGAGACGGCTCAGAAGATGGCGCAGGAGACGGCTCAGAAGATGGCGCAAGAGACGGCTCAGAAGATGGCGCAGGAGACGGCTCAGAAGATGGCACAGGAGACGGCTCAGAAGATGGCACAGGAGACGGCTCAGAAGATGGCGCAGGAGACGGCTCAGAAGATGGCGCAAGAGACGGCTCAGAAGATGGCGCAAGAGACGGCTCAGAAGATGGCGCAAGAGACGGCTCAGAAGATGGCGCAAGAGACGGCTCAGAAGATGGCGCAGGAGACGGCACAGAAGAGGCGCAAGAGACGGCTCAGAAGATGGCGCAGGAGACGGCTCAGAAGATGGCGCAAGAGACGGCTCAGAAGATGGCGCAAGAGACGGCTCAGAAGATGGCGCAAGAGACGGCTCAGAAGATGGCGCAGGAGACGGCTCAGAAGATGGCGCAAGAGACGGCTCAGAAGATGGCGCAGGAGACGGCACAGAAGATGGCGCAGGAGACGGCTCAGAAGATGGCGCAAGAGACGGCTCAGAAGATGGCGCAAGAGACGGCTCAGAAGATGGCGCAAGAGACGGCTCAGAAGATGGCGCAGGAGACGGCTCAGAAGATGGCGCAAGAGACGGCTCAGAAGATGGCGCAGGAGACGGCACAGAAGAGGCGCAAGAGACACCACAGAAGATGGCGCAGGAGACGGCTTAAAGAACAACAACAACAACATCAGCTGCAGCATCAGTCCAGGGTCGAACTCTTTGAGGCCAAAACACGCGCCATTTTTGTCTCCCGCCAAGGTCCCTCCTCAACTGGCACCACTGGCTCTCCAGCCCCCATGAGAGCACTATTCGCCCGTCGCAGTACGGCCGGTAACCACACCCATCTAGCCAAGATCCTCGCCTCTCCTGGGCAATAGAGGTAAGTCCAGCATACAGCTGAAGGAGCGCGGCGCAGGGCTGTCCACGTTCATTACTCAATGCCATCTTGATTCCGGATCCCTTAAAGCATGTTCCAGTCAACAGGTTATGATTCTTATGGGTTTTTCGCATCTCAAACACAGCTCGGAATTACTGTTGTTTGGGATTTTGTGTATTTTATCGTAAGTTATGATTTAGGCGCTTCTGACGATTGGGAATCATGAGTTTCTTGATGGTTATCGCAGGATTCTTGCCTGGTCCAGACTTGGCAGCTTGGACAGAGCAATTGAAGAGATTATCATAGATTTGCATGACTCTCAGCCGCGGCTTGGGCACTCGATCTGCACCTTCCCCTACCCCCACATGGGAAGACGTGGAAGAATAACTAATGAAGGTGAAATATAGCCGTGGACGGGTTGAGTTTTAATACACTATTTTCTCTCAGTTGTGACAACAAGAGCCCACAGGCTGGATACTTGACTTTGAATGCTCTCATTCTCCAATTAGTTCAGTACTTCCCCCCTTGGTCCAATATACTCGTTCCCGTCTATCATGTGTCTCACCGGTTCTGTATTCTCCAGACTCTGCTTGTCAACCCACGGGGAAAAGGCTTTTATTGGTTGGTTTGTCTTTAGGGCGGTATGAATCTTATTTGCATTCACTCGTGTAATCCATCATGTTTTGCGTTATTTTACCTCAGAGGTTTGGTTCCCATGGTCTTCTCTCGAGGAGGTTTTTTGACCTATATAACCCAAGACATGTCGTCACCACGAGCTTCCATCGGCATTTCACGCTTAATACTCTCATTGTATATCTTGTTCTAAATGAACGAGATATTCATGAATGAATGAATGGTCTAGCCTTGTTGACTGGTCGCCCCTCGGCACCTTCTCTGTGCTTGCACGCTCACATGTTGCAGTAGGAAGTTCCTTACACCTACTTCTAACAGCTTCACTCATCATGTCTAATATCCATTACTTCCTAGTCTCTTTGGCCATGATTGAAGTCTTCCATTTATAGCAGATATGGGATCTTCTGACACTCCTTGGATTATATTTATGCAAGCTCAGAGGTCCTCCATGGCTGCTCCAAATTGTCGTTTCACTGAAATTATTCCCACGCAGTCTTTTTAAGTCTTGTTTCGCTTGATATGCTATGTGCTTACCTGTGTTTTACTCGCCTATTTGTGCTTGCAGGACCGAACATTTGCTCCCGGACCCCGCCTTTCTAGTCGCTGGTTGGCTAATGCAATGACTCCTTACCTGTGTGTGTGTGTGTAGGTAGGTTAATTAACATAATGTATGACCTAGATAAAGGACAAGTAAACAGGTCATAAGGGGGGAAGGGGGGCAACTCTCCCCTCTCCATCAACTCGTCTGGTCCACTCGAGAGTTGACTAAGATATCCACATAATTATTCAATCAACTTCAACGCTCGGATATCAGGGTCGAGCCATTATAAATACCTGGAGATAATATAATTATACCCCCTCGTTGTTTAGACCACCCTTATATCGACCACTCCTTCGTTAATCGCTTACATAGACCACTTCGTTAATCGTTTGTATGTACAACGCTTCGTTAATCAGGTGCTACGAATAGAACACTGCAGCCACTATGCTGTTAGACCTGACTTCAAACACACAGTTAACGACAAGAGGTGCAGACGGTTGAAGGAAACAATGAACCGGGTGAACAAGAATTACAGAGTTGTGTAGCACCATATGTAATGGTGAGCACACATACGCAGCAATGCTGATTGATGAGACAGGTCGTAGGTAGTGACTGGGACTAGAGATGCTATACCGATGATGATACTCTTCAAGACGCTAGTGCTCTCTAGAGTGGAGTACTGCTGCACAATGACAGCCCCTTTCTAAGCTGGAGAAATTGCTGACCTGGAGAGCGTGCAGGATTCTAGCGTGTTACTGCTAGAATCCACTCAGTAAAACATCTAAACTACTTGGACCGACTAAAGAGCCTAAATCTTTATTCTCTTGAGCGCAGGCGGGAGACATACATAATAATTTACACGTGGAAAATATTAGAGGGGCTGGTCCCAAACCTGCACACAGAAATAACACCACATGAAACCAGAAGGCATGGCAGGATGTGCAGAATATCGCCGTTGAAGAGCAGAGGTGCAACAGGTACTCTAAGAACTCTATCAACATCAGAGGTCCGAGACTGTTCAACACGCTTCCACTACACATAAGGGGCATAACTGGCCGACCCCTCACAGTGTTCAAGATAGAACTCGATAAACACCTCCAAAAGAATTCCTGATCAACCAGGCTGTGATTCATACGTCAGGTTGCAAGCAGCCGCGTCCAACAGCCTGGTTGACCCAGGCCGTCCTCCAAACAAAGACCCCAAAGTGATTCCATGCACCCGCCAAACCCCCTGTTTATGAATGAAAAAGATTTACACATGACTCACAACTGATGACGTTCGAACATTTTCGGAACAAGTGCTTCACTGACGAATTTTGTTCGAATCACAACGCTATAAATGCTTCACCCACGTACTACAAATACAAATAAACGCCAACAGAACCTAAACAACCTAACCTATGCCTATATATATGCACAATATGCTAATATAATATAATAAGTTATATTTGAGAAAATTCCCGTTTTGAATGAACAGCATGTAAAAATTTATGAATGCGTCTGTGGGGTCGACCGCTGGATGGAATGGACTTGAGTCGAGGACGGGTTGGGGTATCGAGATATGAGGGTGGAGATAGTGAGTGTGTACAGAAGGTGACTGTGGGTGTTGAATATGACTCATGGCGTAGGCCGGGGGTCCTGAGTGTGGATGCTGAATATGGATATAAACAATGTGGATGTTAACAACCAGGGCCAGCCATGTCCCCAGCCCTGCCCCCAGACCTGCCCCAGCCCGGCCACCAGCCCTGTCCCAGCCCTCCCCCAACCCAGCCCCAGCCCTGCCCCAACCCTGTCCCAGCCCTCCCCCAACCCAGCCCCAGCCCTGCCCCAACCCTGCCCCCAGCCCTGTCCCCAGCCCTGTCCCAGCCCTGTCCCCAGCCCTGTCCCCAGCCCTGCCCCCAGCCCTGCCCCCAACCCTGCCCCCAGCCCTTCCCCCAGCCTTGCCCCCAACCCTGCCCCAGCTCTGCTCTAGCCCTAGCCCCAGCCCTGCCCCAGCCTGCCCCAACCCTGCCCCCAGCCCTACCCAAGCCCTCCCCCAGACCTGCCCCAACCCTGCCCCCAGCCCTGTCCCCAGCCCTGTTCCCAACCCTGCCCCAGCCCTGCCCCAACCCTGCCCCCAGCCGTCGTCAACAACACTGCCTGTGGTCTTCGCCTCTAACAGGTTTGGCGCGTTGTCAGCAAGACTTATGAGCGTCCAGACATCATCTCTGGCTGTATGAGAGATTATCATCCCTGGATAGAGAACACCGGAGCTGCAACCATCAACATGTGTGGGGATTGGCCAATCTCCACTTGAGTGCGTCGCCTAGCGGCGCATTTGGGTACTAGCGACACTTAGACTGATCCTCTTAAATCATATAATCAAGTCTGAGTGTGTAGGCTGGATTAGCTACTTATAAACACTTGTAAAGTGAGATGGTACACGAAGAGCTTCTGGGGAAGAAAGAGGAATAAGGAACAGCCACATAACGAAGTACATAACAACGCAAGAGATAAATTCAATGCATAACGATAACAGCAAGGGAAAAGATACGCCATGATGTAGTGTAGAGATTGAAGATCTTCACTTTAAACCTTGCAACACAAGTACTCGGGTGTCAGAGTACAACTGACCAGAAACACAAATGGCGCCAAATATTACGACGCTTCAGGGAATGGCGCGTAGAGAACAAGTGAGGAACGCGATCTTCAACTGTCCCCCAAGAGTCGGACACAGACTAAGAAAGCAATTAAGAGGAAGAACTAAAGACCATAACACAGCAGTGTGGATATCCACGAGGGTTCGAACCTGTGTGTTGGATGTTCCCAGACGCGTTCTAGTCCACTATACCACGACTTAAACCGATCAACTGATCCCTCACCCCACACACACACACACACGAGGACCCGTGTGTGGTCACCCACTTCCCTTCTAGTTCCACATTTTTTCCCTCCAATCCTTTTTCGCAAACCCAGCCACCCGTCCCATCCCCTTCCCCCATCCCCATCCCTCTCCCTCTCCCACCAGACATCACCAAAACAAAAATTGCATTTGCATCTCAAATTGAGACCAAGTTTTCTTGTTATCGTTCTCCACATCTATCTAATCCCTCCTTATTTGACACGGGGGAACCTTGATTCTCTCTCTCTCTCTCTCTCTCTCTCTCTCTCTCTCTCTCTCTCTCTCTCTCTCTCTCTCTCTCTCTCTCTCTCTCTCTCTCTCTCTCTCTCTCTCTCTCTGTGTGTGTGTGAGAGAGAGACACACACACACACAGAGAGAGAGAGAGAGAGAGAGAGAGAGAGAGAGAGAGAGAGAGAGAGAGAGAGAGAGACACACGCAGACAGAGAGAGAGAGACACAGAGAGAGAGACACACACAGAGAGAGAGAGAGAGAGAGAGAGAGACACACACACACGCAGACAGAGAGAGACACACACACACACATACGCAAACAGAGAGAGAGAGACACACACACACGCAGACAGAGAGAGAGAGAGAGAGAGAGACACACACACACACGCAGACAGAGAGAGTTTAGAAAACACGGGGTGTTGGAGATTTCAACCAGAACGCAAGTAGTGATCCCAGAGGTCGATATATTTCAGATTAGCTACAGCTGTTCAAGAACCTAATTGGCGTCCCCTGTAGCGTGATTATTATCTGGGAGCCTCGTTAGCCTTCCTGGAGCCTCGTTAGCGTCCCCTGGAGTTAAGATGACGTCTCAGGGCACCTTAGTGGCGTCCCTAAATGCCTGAAACTTCCCCTTGATTCTAAATGACGTCTCTGAGATAAGGTGGATTTTCAGGGGCCTTAGCTGGCCTCAGTTGGCTTCTATAACAACCTGTCCTC